TGTCTCACCAGCTAGAAAATATTGTAGTTTAGATTTCAACCCCTTATTTTATGATGGCATGGGCACGCAACAGAATTGAACTCGGTTTTTGGACAGACCCTTTTCTGAGTCCCTTCAGTATATTTTCCCTTTCCTCTCTTGTCGACATAATAGCCTAACCATGGCCTTTGAGTGGTGAAGAAAGTGAGGCCTGTTGAGGTCAGCTGCAGTGTTACTACATCAGCTAGCCTATACTACACCAGCGCTGCCTGTATACTGTCGTTGGTTGTAAATCTCCTGTGCTGTGTCATGTGAAATTTGTCTAGCGGTGTGCCTGCCTCCGGCTCTAAACACAGATTGCCGTCTTAGCGGCGAGCCACTACATCCAGAGATTTCTTTTTGTGTCCCACTTTCAGCAGATGGTCAAAAGACATGACGGGCATTGCAGCAGGGGCTGGTGTCCAAAGTGGTGTGGTCAGCTAATGTGAAGGCCAAGGCATACTGAGTCGGTAGCTTTGCTACATCTTTGGTTTTATAGCAGGATATTTTATTTTGTTTATGAACTCTTGTATCTGTTCAAAGCAAAGCAAGACTGATCTTCTTCTTCCTTGCTTTCTTGGATTGTGTAGCAGACACTTGCCACTAAACTCCATTAGACATCTGGTTTAATATTCCCCCATTCTTCTCTCCTGGATGTTTCCAAGTTCATTGAGGTTTTTCTGGTCACTCCAATTTTCCACTGGCAGCTAGCGAGGCTATCCCAGGGTGGTTCCTCCTGGAGGGCTGTCAGGACTCTGGGGCCAGCCTCTGTTGGGCTTTCTGCTGCTGTTATGGGTGCTTTTTCTCCTCCGCATATCATCAACCGCACAGCTGTTCCAAGCTGAGGGCACAGGAGTAAAATTATGTTGCACTCACAACATGCAACACAAGACAACAGAGCATTGTTGTTAAAATGTAAAGTTTCCTGGTTGTGGTTACATTAGTATATTTATTTGTTCAGTGCACTTTGGGCACCAAAATGCATTTTGTATTCATATTAAGTTACTGAAGTAAGTCTTAAGTAATTTGATTTACTTAAATTCTAACCTAAAAATTAGTGTCACTACAGTCCAAGCACAACTCTGCATTTATATGAAGTGAATAACTTCGATTTTAGTTTTTATGTTTTTGATGAAAGAATCTTCAAACATGATATGATTTTATTTTGATTAAATAGGCAAGAAGGATATTTAATGCTTCATACACATGGATATTTATACTTAGCAGCAACTTTTTAAGTGCTAAAAATCTGATTTCCGATGTCTTCTTTGGTTCATTGCACAAAGAAAAAAAGAGGGTCTTGATCGCCACAGTTCCATGGCTTGTGTAATTGGTTTTCATTATGGTCAGGCAGAGCCTTGGCAGTGCCAGACCCAACAGGGGGTGACAACCAGTACAAGCCCCATCATCATCATTTTCCCCATGAGCAGCACAATTCAATGGGCCCAGAAATGGGCATGCATCTATGGCTCAGGGAACCACCCTTTCTCTGGAAACTGCCTTTATCCCGTTTTAAACATTACAGTGACGCTCTGTTTGTGCGTCTATTTGCAAATGTGTTTTTAACAGTGTATGTGTGTAGGGTGGATGGCAGCGTGAGTGTGTTGTGTATTTTTATTATGTGGCCGGTCACATTTGTGTGCAGATGTATGCGTGTGAATGCACATACATTACGCTTGTGCGCCTGCATCCGTGCATGTGTTTGAGGTGGGGGCAGCAGAATGTTACCACAAGCTGGTGGGGCACAGCTCTGCTGCTAACCAAAGAAGCAAGTGGTTGTGAGTCAGTCCCCACTGGGCAAACCTGTGGCCGTGGTATTAGCTCTGCAGCACCAGTGCCAAGATAGGAAATTAACAGTGGCTTTGAGTGAAAACGTCTCTGAGAGTTCAGAAGTAAATGCTCCTGGGACTAGAATAAGAAGTGTAAAAAGTCCCTCTGAAGAGGAAGAGGAAATTAAAGAAAAAACATCTGCAAATGGCTGCATATGAGCAGTTTAATTGGAAGTACTTAATGCAAATTACTTTTTAAATGCTGAAAAAAAGCTCCATAAAATGAAGCAATACACACAAAAAAAAACAACCAATCGATAAGAACATTTTACTATTCTGCTTTATGCAAAGCAGTCATGCCTAGGGTAGACTCCAGCTAACACTTGCAGCCATATGACCGCACTGTCTGGGCCCATTAAATAAGGTAAAATAAGCAAAGATTTTACATCTAGTAACTTAAAATTGTTAAAAGTTTATTTGGTCAGGCAAAATGACACAGACCATACTGTATTTTCTTCTCTCATGTCTGAAACGTGTTTTGTTTCCTCATAATTTCCACTTTATTGTTGTACTTTGCTGCTGCAGATGTAAACATTTCCTCCATTTGCTAATTTTAGGATATTATTCCTGTTTTTGGTGGACACGTCTGTAGGTATGTCTGCAGTATCTGATTTATTGTAGGTTCTGAATGTTTACTAAGTTCAATATATAACTATTTTACCGTAGCTCCCTTTTGCACTCAGAAAGTTTTGTATATTTGCTTTATATATACATATATATTTGCTTTGCTTTTAACTTTGAGCATGTTGCAAGCAAAATGTATAACAGAGAGCTCTATGATTTAATGGTTAACAAATGTTATTCACTAATTACTCATCAAACATGATTGGTTATTCTTTACTTACAAATAAATCAGTCTCTGAGGCATCTCTGACTACAGAGGATTTGAATTATCATTTCTCTTCACACCCAAATCATCAAGTCACAATGTCCAATACACTGGAGTTGCTGTTAAGATCTAAAGTAATACAATGAAGTTTGTTGCCAAACTGATCTGACAAACTTCTTGGCTTGTCTCTGAAAGCCATTGACAAAATGTTAAATAATCAAGGAGCTCTTGGCTTTGGCTTTTGTGCTGAAAAAAAAGTGCATTTTACCTAGAGAGATTCAAATAATTGCAACAAAGTACATTACACAACATACATCAAAAGACTTGCAAAACATTCCTCTCTGCTCTGTGGTTAGCCTTGTTTCAGCTGCTTGGGCCCTTCCAGATTACTGCCAGTTGAAAGGAGACCAGGGCTGTAATAGCCCACAGTCTGTTTTAGACCAGAGGAGGCATTTTAAGCAAGCCCTCTGTAGCCATTAGGAGAGTAGTAGAGAACTCTTGAGATATTTATTAAGAGAAAGGAATGGTATGGCATGATTGTTGTCATTGACCTTTTGGCTAAATGTGTACCATAGTCCTTTAGATCTCTTTTCCTCTTAAATCCATCACTGATATTCCAAAGAACTGTTATTTGACAACATGATTCCAGTCGATAAAAGATTAATCAAAAGCAATACTGATAACCAATGAGTCATTTAGGTGGCGTGGTGGTGCAGTGGTTAGCATTGTCGTTTCACAGCTACGGCTTCCTCCCACAGTCTAAAGAAATGCAGGTTAATTGGTGACTCTAAATTGCCCATATGTGTGAAAGTGAGTGTGAATGGTTTGTCTTTATGTGTCAGCTTTGTGATGAACTGGCAATCTTTCCAGGGTGTACCCCGCCTCTTGCCCAGTGTCAGCTGGGATTGGATCCAGCCCCCTGCGACCCTGCAAAGGATAAGCTATGGATAGCAAGTTATGGATAGGGATGGATTAATTATTTATGCCATTTATCAAGGAAACATATGACGGTTTCACCCTCTCAAATGTGAGGATTCATAGTTTTTCTCCATTTTACATTTAATACTTTTTGGACTTAATTTTAAGACATGTTAGGATATGGGGTTTTCTTAATAGCTTAACGATTAAGCAATTAATTGAGAAAGCAACCAACATATTAATCAACAATCAAAAAAAAAAAACATAAGTTGCATTGCACTTTTGTTTCCACAAAACTAAATTATTAAAACAAAAAATATTAAAGTAAGTAAGTCAAAAATATCTTCTTTTTCAGAACCCTGAAACTGTGTCTTATTTTTGCTTGATGACCGTGCATTTTGCATTTTGTCCAGTGGCATGAGGGCAAGCAGTCAGATAATTTTCTCCACACACTCACTCACTTACTCACTCACTCAATAAGGTGATTCTTCCATTTGAGGGCTCACATGGTCAGATGAAAGCACAGGTGTAACATACATTAGGTTTTAGATTTTCACACAGCAGTACATGAGTATAACATACAGCACAGGTAAAAATATCTCCTGATTAGGTTTAGCTGGCGATCTTGTCGTGTGCAGTCTTGGTATCATCTGGCTCTTCGGAGTGTCTCCTTTCTTGTCAGTGAGCAGTACGAGCTAGGCAGCGAGACCTGCAGACCCCAGCTGTTTGCAGTGTGGGCAGCAGTACAAGGTGCTCCTGTAGTGGAATTCAGCACTTTGGACAGCACCGTCCTAGACCAGCTCTCCCCACACTGGAATTCCAACACTGCACTCTCGCAGGCTGGGCCCAAGGACTTTGCGGTTGGAAATGTGACCACATTTCTACCAAGGTGCAGTAGGAAAGCTGTTTAGGAGAGGGAAGGAAAAATTGCTAACTTATCAAGACGATGTAGCAGACTGAGAGTTTCTGTGCTCTTTATCAAGGTCAAAATCTCCGCTGCGTGTGATAATGGGACTGGACTGGTGTGTTGAAGTGTGCTTTGCAGAAGATGACAGTGGTCTGCGTTAGGCCAGATAAGGACATATATTTTACAGTATTATCAAAGTGTGGCAAAATTCTCACTAAAACAACTTTTACAGCTGTTTTTAACTGATATAAAAGAGATATTGATTTTTGGGTTTAAGGTTCAGGAAACACGGTGCATTTTATTAAATATTGCTGTGAGCTGTTGTCCAATCCGTCAATCTCATCTGAAATGTTAATATGGACGTTTAAAGCTTTTGATTGATGCTAAACATGTACTGAGTACAGGATTTTGTATTTTCCTAGTAAAAGTGGAAGAAGTACAACTAATGTCTTATCTCATCCCAGTATTTCTTAACAAAGATCTCTTTTCCCTCTTTCAGGCAGTCGGGAAGCAGCGTTCACCTACGCCATCACAGCGGCAGGAGTGGCCCACGCTATCACAGCGGCGTGCAGCCAGGGAAACCTGAGCCAGTGCGGCTGCGACCGGGAGAAGCAGGGGTATTACAATCAGGAGGAAGGCTGGAAGTGGGGAGGCTGCTCGGCTGACATCAAGTACGGAATCGAGTTCTCTCGCCGCTTTGTGGATGCCCGCGAGATTAAAAAGACCCCACGCCGCCTGATGAACTTACATAACAATGAGGCAGGGAGAAAGGTAAAGAGGTTTTTTTTGTACTCTCAGTTGCTTTTTCCCAAAGTGATCCAGAGTGAAAAGCACAAGTATTTTTGAATAAATGGACGATATCACATAAGTAAGCAACTCATCCCATTTGTTAAGAAATAACAAAGCATAATTCTGATTTATTACAACTCAGATTTTTCAGTAATATTAACATTGTACTTACCAAGCCAAACTTATTCGGAAACTTAAACTGTCTGTTATAAACAGCCATCACAGTTTACAGACTGACATTTACTTGAACCTATTGTAGTTGCCCTAGATTTTTCTGTGCAATTAGATATTGTTACCAAGATTTTGGGTGCGCTCACTTTTGTTTTTGTTGTGGTTTTAGATAATCTGGCTAAACTGTTGAAGTTTGTTTACAACTTGGCAGATTGTTTTACTGCTGCTAAATGTGTCTTGACTCCTACATCTCTCCAATTACTTTTGTGAGTACAAAGTTATTATAAGTGATAGCCAAAATTATGGAAATCAAACTAGAGTCTAACCATTCCTGCCCGCACTCGCAAACATTCTGACAATTCACACCCACAAAAAAGAGATTTTGTGTCTTCTCTTGTCCCGCAGGTAGAAATATCTTATTTTACTGTCAGTAACAACTGAGAAACTTCTTCAAATGTCAGACTTGCCTTATTGTGATGTCTTTAATATTCCTTTAAAGTTAATTTGTCGACTGTGTTCGTCTTCATCCTTCTAGTGGGTACAAGCTAAATCTGGGACCCGCACTTTATTTTTTGACCGCCTGCTCCTGCCAGCATCAAAGTCAAAACCGCCCGCTCCCATGAGATTTGTGTTGGGTCCTGCGGGACCTGCAGGATCCCGATCCCAATGCAGTCATCTAAATCAGACCCAAGTTGTAATGGAGTGGTTATTATCGGTTATTAGGAAATAATCTTCCTCTAAAGAAACAAAACATTTATGACTCAATACTTGACAAACATGTGTTCCTGTATGGATGAATAGATGTGTGTGTTAATGTGTTTTTAACACAACAACAGTCCCAGATAAAGAGCTAAAAGTCACACGTGACAAAGGACTGTGATAGTTGTAGATTGATTGATCACCCAGTTTGCCTTCCAGCAACTGGTTTTGCTTCAGCCAATTATTGACATTTCTTTCCATTCTAAGAGGGTGTCTTTTATTTCTGAGAGAGTGTGTTGGCAAACTTCATTATGGACATGTTTGTTTGCTATTAGTCATCCCAGAAAAGTCATAGAGGAAAGAAAGAGAGAGAGAGAGTGAGAGGTAAATAAAAGAGATATGATGTTATGTTGACAAATGGATCTAATTAATAACTGGGGCTTTATCGTGTCCACTGGGAAAATGTGGCCTGGCCAAGCATTGCCAGATGGAGGACTGCCATTCCCTCTTTCCAGTTCCTTTCATGGAATTATGAAGTGTAAAGTCAGGAACAGGATATTATTGCAGTTCTCTGCACAATACCAAAACATGTCACTGCCATTTGACTGCGTCTATTCAGGGTGTGAAAGCAGGCCCACAATGCCGGTGTTAACACAGCAGACTGATAGGGTCTGTGCTGCATGCCAGGGTGCTGGCATGTTGGACTGTCAGTGTTGGAGTTGGCACTGTTGCTGTTCTCACTCCAGGGCTTGGAAACTCAGATTATAGGAGGATGTGCAAAAGTAAGATTTTCTTTTTTGCAGAGACAGTAGGAAGCGAAAATCTTTCTTAGACTTCAGGTCAGGGGACGGATTCTAATTGTTCAAGGTGCAGCCAAGAAGCTCACCGGTTCTAGTTCTTTACTAGCTTGCCATTATTGCTTACTGTTGAAACTGCTACAGTGCACATTATTGTTTTTCTTGCGTTCTTGGCAGTTTGACAGATTCTGGTGTATTACTACCACCCACTGGACTGGAGTGCGGACCAGGATTTGCATGTGGCCTATATGTCCAGAAACACGGCCAGTAGTATGATTGGGAAAGAGCAGACACCAGTGGGTTTTTTGATGTTCCGATACCATTTTTTCCCTCCCGATACCGATTCCGATACTTGTGCTGTGGGTATCGGCCGATACCGAGTACCGATCCGATACCAGTATGTTATAAAAAAAAAATATCATACTACGCCTGCATGACTGTGATATGATTATCATTGTGGTAAGGCCTGGCTCAGG